TATCACAATTTAATCAGCATTAAGAAATGTTTGTTTATTTTTAAGTTAATAATCTGCATAAAGAAAACGTTTTGTAGGAAAAAGTATTTTTGTAATCGGCGATTTTCTTAGAATAGTTTTGGATATTTCTGTTTTATTTCACTGATGGTAGATAAAAGAAAAACAGATGAAGCTTTTTGATAGCGAAATTTTGATATTTTGTGAATAATATTATGGTAATATATTAAAATAATTCAATGAATTGATACATATGCCATTTTGAATTTTAATAGATTACCATAAAATTTAACTTAAAGATTACGCAAAAGTTATTTAAGTTACACCTTATTTATTATTTTTCATATTTTTTTTCGAAAATTTCATTTAATATACATTTTATACCTGTGTAAACATATAATTAAGAATGGCATTCAAGTTAAATATATATATATACGTAAAGCTCAGAACTCTAGAATTCAATTTTGCTCTCGTCTTCCTGTAACAGTCTTTATTTTTCTTTGAAAACGTTATGATAGCAAAATGATTTTTTCCGTAACAAATACTTCTTTTATGATACATTGATTTCACGCTTAAAGATTTTATTCTTGGCAAGTTTTAAGTACTTTAAGTTTTTAACAAATTATACATTTTTTATCAATTTCGTGTACCTACAGTGAAAATAAAATATCAAAATTTAGTTTATTTACCGAAAAAGACAAATTGAGTATATAGTTATTATTAAATAAGTCTAAAATAGTTCATAAAACTTTTGTTTGTTGTAAAATTGAAAAAACTCTTAAAACGGGTAATTTATTATCATATATTATTACTATGGTAAAATAAATGCTATTTTTTACATGTTTAAAATGTATGCTATTTGAGTAGAATTTACTTTGCAATAAATAGTTATTTTAATTGATGTTTACTACTTAATTTTAAGAAGTTACTAATCTTAAAATAAAAATATTAATTTCAATTAAATACTCATCATTAACGAAACTATTTTTTACTTTTAATTAAAATTGAATTACATATTAAGCTAACGGTTCACATGTTAGAATCAAAATTAAAATTGTTGTAAAAATACCTTTTAAAATACATTTTTAAATATTTTAAATATTATTATCCATAGAAATTTAAATCATTGTTGTTTCGAATTTGATATATGAAATAAACATGGAATTTCTAGTTAGTTTATTAATTACTAAATAATTCTATAATAATATTTTTATTATGTAAAAGTAATGAGGATTGTATTGATTTTAACATGATGTGTATTTTTTTTATGTATGTATACATGATTTTGACTAGAATTGTTCGGATTATCATAACTATAGAAGATTTATAATAAAAAAATATTCTCTTGTTGGATTTTTGAGGTGGATAATTCATAAGGTAAAAAACTCACAAAAAGTTATAAAAAATGGCAACTTTTACTGCTTACAGACTTTTGACGAAATAATAATTTCGTTTTCATCATAATTTAAAATTAATAATTGTAGAAACTTCTAGTAGTCTCTGAATACTTATTTACTGTTCACTAAAACAATGTTATGCTATTTATAAATAGTTTAAAATGCCTTGTTTTCTTAGCTTTTTTTTTTCAATAATATTTAGAAAATAATTTTCGTTTGACAAAAAGTCTTCAGTTCAATAAAAACTTTTTTATACATATAAATTACTGGTAAATGAAATAAAAATTAAGATACAATGAAACAAAATTTTATGAGCCTTTTAGATAGGTATCAAATTTGAATTTAAAATTACGAATATTCGCTACTATTTGGTAGTTAAAAATATATAAATCTTTATTATTTTATACATAAGGGTTAAAAATTGTATTCAAGATTTTCTAAAAATTATCTCTGCAATAATAAAAAACATAATATAACATGAATTTTATCAAAATATTTTATAAGTCTTACAAAATTAAATTTTGATAACATTGGATATTTCAACGAATTTACATCAAACAATAATAATTATATATTTGTTATTCTATAAATATCGATCGTAGTGACTCTTAACATTAACTGATTACTTATATTAGAATTTTAAAAATATTTTATGGTATCGAAATATTTTGTTGAACATTTTTGTATATATTTGTTGACATTATTGTTATTTATAGGTACTTGCTACTTGTGATTTTCCGACATTTTAGATTATTTATTAATTTTTTTTTTTCAAAACTTAACACATAAAAAGTTTAAACTACCTAAATCTAGTATTGAACTCGCCACCACCTAGTATTTTTTCACGCAATTTTTTATAGGAAATTTCCGTTTTACTACCATATCAACCATCTTTAAAAATATAAACTGATTCACCCGTCTACTTTTACTCGGAATCGTTTTTCGAGAGCAATGGTACTTCAATTTTAAAAAGCCAATTATCAATATCATTCATCCATCTCTGTATTTCATCTGACAGTTTAACGGTCATATGTAGGTCTGACTTATCGTTTTACTCTATTTTAGTATTTATTTTATTGATCATAGAATTAATAAGATTTAAGACCTTATACTATGAATACAGTTTAAAGATAACCTAAGTATTCAATGTAAGAGTAATTTGGATTATATTGTGTGTAGTATGATATTTTATAATATTTTATCTAAATATGAAATATTCATATAAGCAAGTAATTAAAATTAAAAGCCTTTTGAACGACTTCCTTACCAAGAAATTCTTATATTTTTCTCATAATAGCCATGAGATGAGAATATATTATATAAAAATGTAAGTAAGAGGCTTGTTAAATTTATGATAATCTAGTAATTTACGCTCATTAATTTTCAGATAAGTTTAGTCAAGGTGCTACCATTAATCTATTGAAAGTTGTAATTACTTTTTCATGTTTAGTTAAAGATTTCTCATTTTGTTTAGCCGCTAATAGTCTCGAGTTGTTCAGCTTCACTATGGTTAAATTAGTTATCTTTTTTTAGTTATAATTGCTGACGATTAATTAAATTAAATGGTAAAAAGGAATTTTATAACAGTTTTGATGGAATTATCATAAAATTAAGTTTCTCAATCTTTGGTAAATATCCATTATAATTGTTTATAAATTTTATTTTCGGTTATATATAGAAGAAATACGAGTATAATAGAGGTAGTGATTACAGCTTTCATACTTTTAAAATATTATTATTTTATACTTGTTGTGCCTTGCGCACAATATACGAGTACATATAATGTTGATGTTATTGTCAATACAATATGCAATTGTGTTAATTTTTTCATAATAATTTGCTTTAATTTATTTACAAATCAATCAATAGATATATAGATATAATCTTAAATATATGAATATTTTTTAAGGGTTATTAATAAATAAGTCAATAAGTGTACAAATATTATCTCTTTAACATAAAAATAGTTAATTATAAACGAAATTATATCTTTTTCTCGTAGTTTTAATGATAATTGTAAAAGAAATGTAATTTAGAGTTAATTTTAATAAAGGATAATTTCTCAAATTTGAATTTATTATACACCACACAATCTAGAGTTTGGATATTCGAATAAGGAATCAAGTGCTTAAAAATTAATGATAACCGAGCAGTTTTTTTTTCTAATTGATAATAAAATTTTTACAAGTGCTTATTATGGTTATTCCACTAATAAAATATTCGTATTAAAGCAGCATATTATACTAACAGTTATGAATTTAAATAATGAATACAATTCTAGTATATCCTGAATAGTTTCACATGTAATTAATTAATTGAAATTCAACAATTTTTTAGTTCAAAAGTTTTTCATTAAGTAATGAAATTTTTTTGTGGATGATAGACATTGATGAAATTATTTACGTATTTTTAAATTTAAGAATTTGGTAAATATCAAAATTGTTTGTTACATTAATGGTAGCCAGTGTGCGTAAAAATAAAGTACAAGATCATTGACACAGTGTAAAAAAATTTTTCTTTCGAATTAAATGTATGATTTAATAAAAATAATCATTAAATTAAAGTAAATAGAATTTGAATATTTCTATATCGTTTTGTTAATAAACGTAAAACATAAATTACGGTAATAATCAAACAATTTGTTAAAATAAAATAAGGGGTAATTTAGTATATACTGTTTTTTGGAAAAATATTATTTATTATTAATTAACAATTTTTTGGAAGGATACAAAACAACAATGTATGTTAATATAGTTAACAGCTTGTGGTGATGACGTGAGAAGAATTTTAAATGTTTCACATAGGTGATTAATGGTTTAGAATGTGACGACGCCATATGCGTGGATCATAAACAGCATACGTTTATAAGCTTGTTGTTGTCAAGTTTAAAAGTGATGAATAATATCTATTTGCAGTAAAGGATTATTTTTGTACATCTTAGCTTATGATTTTCATTGTATTTTATGGTGCCATAAGTAAAAAAATCAAAATTGTTTAAGGAATAATTGATTGTTTTTATAAAAAACTAATTTTAATCTCTAGTTCAATTTAGTTAATTAGATTATTTTGATATTAATATAATTAGAATTGTACTTTAAGTTTTACATTGAATTAAATACTTATTTTCAGAATTTATTTTTTCATACCTATACAAGTTTGTTGTATTATTTACTGTAGTATACTTGAAAAAAAAAATCAGTAAAATAAAATAAAATAAAAACTCGAAAAAATTTAGTTTATCTAATAGTCATAGCAATTAAGAAATATTTATTGTATTTGTTCGTGAGTGGTTATATTGGAAGTATTGATAGTTCATTTTTTACAAATATTTTTCAAATATTTGGAAAAATAATTCATCAAATGTACTTCATAAATACATTAATTATAATATTTATTGATGAAAGTTTCCTTTTTATCTTGAAAAGTGTATACAAATACACAATTTTATTTAATTCAACCAAACATAAGAATTGAACATAAAATTTCACGAGTAGTGGCATTTGTCCAGTTACTGATTTATTGTGTAAAAATTGTAATTTATATTTTTGTATATCTATGCAATTATTTAAAGATTATTTATAATTGTTTTCACTGTTTTATTTATAGATATGAAAAATCAGAAAAAATGAAGATTCCTGTCATTTACGGAATTAATTGAATCCACTGATGACAAAAATTTCCATACGTCATGTAATCCCTAATTTTAGTGGGAATCTTGGTACAATTTTAACCATTTGTGAGAAATAAATCAATATTTCAAGACATCGTGGGAATAGCAAAACAAATCTAACAAAATGATACCCACAAATGTTATGTCATTCATCAACAAGGTTAGTGTTAATTTTAGTGTTGAATATATTTAATGAACTAACTCTAAATATTATTCTGCTTTCTCTGCGATGATAGTATTCTTTGGAAAATTATTACTACATGGTAGTTTAATATCTATCTTAATAATTTAATTTGATCTATAAGTATTCAAAGTAATCATTTTTGGGACTGTTAAACCATTTTTAATTGTAATGGTGCATTTAAATTATATTTAAATACTTATATAAGAATTTATATATTGTTTTTATATATTTTTAGAAATGATTTTTAGTGCTAGTATAGATAAATTATCACTCAATACATTTTACAAGAATAGAATACAAATAGGAGAGAAAATAAAATAAAAGTAAAAATATGTGTGTCTATATATATATATATATATTATAAAGACAGTACAAAAGGTGCAAAGTATCGTACATAGAGTAATAAGGTGTGTTAGACGTAGCTATGGATAGCTATGGTGAGGAAAATATTTTGTGTTACTTAAAACCTGAAACTGTGATAAAATTTAGAAAAAGAGTAACCCATCAAGTACTTTTTATGTAATAAAAACTTAAAATAGGAGAACTCTAGAGCAAGTATTTTTAATAACATAATTGTTTTTAAACAACGTACTTATTGTAATAATGTCTTTATTAAATCATTAATGCTGTATATTATTAATTAATAAATTATTAATTTATATAATATATTGATAATATTTTATTATTTATATATATTTAATATATTATTAATTAAAAATCGACTAGTTGTCTATAATTTTATTAGAAGAAAAATATAAATTAATAACTAATTGTGTATTGAATTAATAATATAAATTGACATGGAATTGATTTAGGTTCAAGTGGTTATTTATTTTAAAAAACAAATAAAATTTGATATTTTATCATATAAAGAGAACTTTTTTATATAAATTCAACATTTTTTGTTCCTAAACAGCTATATTAAATTTTACTTGATGTATAGTACAATATGGTTGTTGTACTTTTTCTTACCTTGTATTTAATTATTAGTTCGATACTAAAAATAAAACTATTTTTGCTTTATTGCTTTTAAACTTTTTAAACTTTTAATTTTATTGATTTTTTTTCAGTTAATATCTTCTATATTGTTGTTCAATTAAAGAAAGTATAGTTTAACATATAATTAATTCACTAATTTCTTACACGTGTGAGATTTAAATGTATAAACTGGTTCTAATCACATTGTTCCAACTGTAAAGGTTAAAATTAATGTTAAGGGTATTTCAGACATTTTTTTTATTCTATATTCTTTTTTGTTTTACTTTTATATTTTATTAAAACAATCCTGAGTTTGGATATTTTTCCCTATGGATATTTTCCCCACGGTCACTTTTTGGCGAATAGGGCATTTCAAGCAGTTATGTAGACAATTTCTCCCTGTCGTGCAATAATAAAATAATTTCACTTAAAATATATTATTCCAGTGGTATTTTACTATCGAAATTATTCTTTTGAAAACTTTAGTTTATTTTTCATGCATTTCATTGTTATTATCACACTTATTATATAATATATGTTAATTATAAATTGATGAGGCATAAAATATTGAAGTTATAATTATTATCTTTAATTTTTATTGCGCTAATAGAATTTGCCTTTTTCTTTTTTTTTAAAAAAATTTAATTGGAATAATATATGAAATTTATTGATTTAGTTTAATTTTTTAAAATTTCAAATACAATATAATTGATATACAATATATATATACATATATATATTAGTCTTTTTCTACACAAATAAAATTTGGTTCAGAAATAATAAAAAATCAATTGAAGAATCAAATTTAAGTTTAAAACATAATATTTTATTAATAGCATTCCTTTGACCATACTATTAATTGTTAAACATATAAAAACACATGAATAAATCTTCAGTTTAACTTCTCAGAGATAATTTTAAGATAGTTCAAAACTTATAAAAACGTGCTTCATTGAAACTAAAAGTTTTTTTTTTTTGAAAGGACAATGATAAAATGATTTTCAAACTTCAGCAATTTCTAGCAGATATCTATAGTATAATGTTACTAGTATATTTTCACACTAGATGTATTAAATTATGTATGACTACCATGTAATGTAATGAATCAAAATTTGTCATATGATAAGTTTTTATGTACTATGATCTATAAAGTTGGATAATCCTTCCTTTTTATGTTTATTTTGTGGAAAAATTCATGTTCATAATTTTGAAAAAAATATTGTTATAATACCGCTTCAAAAGAATGATAATTTTAGAAAAAGTCAGGCTCTTTATAACATTTTTTTTTTGTATAATTTGTATTAAAATGTTTTAATTATTTAATAATATTATGCTTACTTAACTAACCTAACCTAACTTATATATATACACGCATAACTGAAATACGAATTATAGATTTAATATTTTTAAAATAAAAATTATTATTATTTTTAAAATAACAATAAAATTGTTGTATTATATCTACTTGTTTTTATTGATTTCTTATTTAATAAAAATAGTTTTAGTTTATCATAGTTTTTAAAAAAAATACGATTTTAAAAGTAGCGTCAGAAGGTCACCAATATAATTGGTAGAAATTAATATGTGAATACATGCTAGATGTTGGAGTCTGTTTAAAGTATGACAATTATTCAAGGTTTTTGGGGTTTGTCATAAATGTTTCTCTTTTCCTTTTTGGTGAATTTCCATACACTAGACATAAAAGTGTGACCTTTTAAGATAGTTTATAATAATATGTGTCTTTACGTGAAGGATCAAATGTATTTTTATGAAAACATATATAAAGCAAAGGACACACGGAATGAAATTTTATATGTAACCCAAAAAGAAAACTAAATCATTACTTTTAACGTCAAGAGAAATTATGCTAATATGAATTGTGGAACAACGTATCTGAGTACAATATTTTTGTTACAAGCTGTACAAGATTCTAGTACGAAAAAAAATAGTTATAATAAATACCTTGTTTTATTTATTACCCTGTTATGATATATATATATAATCATACAGAACATGGTGGATTTATTTAAAAAAAAAGTATATACACAATTATATACTCTCTTTAAACATTTTTACGACTGTAATATCATTCTTTAATGTTGTATACTTATAATATTAACTTGATATAGCTCTTATTTTTTAAAATTTTTACTAAAAACACTTCCATGAAATTATAGTTATTTTAAAATTTCCATTGAATATGAAGTAAAGTATAACATTGAGAATACATTTGAGAAGCGTTTTTTGAGTGACGTTTGTACTCTGTGTTTGTTTTTAGCCATATAATGGTCTACATGGAAGCACGTTAAGTTTAAACTTAAATATAAATAATGAATACTATTTGGATTTTCACATTTCTAATCCCCTCGTTGGGAATGCCTTTCGAATCTAAAGTAATTCGATTAACCATACGATACGTGTACATTATGCCGCGAGTGCGAAGTGTATGCACGTGTGTTGTCACCAAGTAATGCGAATTACTTCATAGTTAAAAATATTTCTAGTATAATATCCATTCAGGTTTTCACTCACATTATATTCCGAGTGCAGTATCTTCCTTGTCCCGTTATCAGGAATGGGAAACCGTTGGTGGAGATGCTGGGTTAGCATTCGCAGGATATGTGGTCACGATGAGCAGAAATATTATGCTATCGACGGATTCCTGTCAACGGGTCCCATTGTCTCCTATCACGTCGCACCTTCTTCGTTCTCTGCCACTCGCTGCATAGGATAACTGAGAACTTGGATACAATACACCCACACACACACACACACACACACACACACACACACACACACATACATATACACACACTTACATTCACACATTTACACTCACACCCACATTCACTCACTTGTATGATACGCGCCTGGGGTATTGATTATTATCTGCAGCAAAGGCGGTGGCCATGGTCGAGTCTCCGGAGTCGTAAGTAACACGCTCCTCTCTCCTTTCTCTCTCTTTATCCTGGTAACTTTCTTTCCTTCTTCACCTACTTCCACCTTCGTTTCCTCTCTCCCTTTCTCTTTTTATTTTCATTTCTTCTTTCCCGGAAACTGTTGCTGAATCGCCGACGTCAACGGTGCGTTGTTAGTTTCGTGTTGGTAATCTCGCTCACCTCACCATTGTTATTATTATTTTTTTTCAAGAACAAATTAATTATATCATTTTATTCACATTCATTATTCTATTTCAAGTACACTACTTTTGTCGAATAAAATATAAGTATAATTTAATGTTGTGCCAAAGTATTCAAACGCATTACGATAAGTTTATTTTTATTCTACGAACTGTCTACTCTATCATATTTTGACTTTTTTTTTATAATATTATTTTATATATCTAAATAAGTATTTTGGTATATTATTTCTCAATTTTTTTAAGCATCGTAATCGATATTGTCTTCGAAAATCTATTTCAACTCAAATGGGTTTACAAACAATAATTTTTGGAATTTATAATGTTTTATTGTTTATATAGTTCACAAAGAATAAATGCTTCATGACTTACCTATATATAATATACTTATATATTTTAAAATTTAGTTTTAAATTAAATATACGCATAGTATGTATAATTTTTGGTCGCTGAATATTATTCATAAACTATTCGACATAGTATAAAACAGGGTTATATTATAATATCAAGCGTTAAAAAAAATATTCCAATACTTTTAAATTTTTTAAATACAAATTTACATCTGTAATCCTTAAAATTATTTAATGAAATTGAACTTGTAATTTTTTTTTTAAATTTTAATTGATACATATTTCTATATTTCATTAAATATTTCGAAAAAATTCTAGAAACAATTCGTATTGAATTTTAAGCCGGAGCTGTTCTCCTCCAAAAATAAAATACCATTTTCCTATAAATAGAGATCTATTCTATTTCCCTTCAATTATCGGTTACCATAATATATATACTTCTCTACTATTCATTTTAAAATAAAATACTTACTATTTTTCAACTAATGATTTATAAACATAAATGAGTA